AGACTAAGTGTCCATCACCCGAAGAATGGATAAACAAACAGTGGTACATACACACAATGGAATATTATGCTACCTTGAAGAATAACAAGGAAGCTGCAAGCCACCGAATAACATGGATGAATCTTGAAGACATTATGTTGAGTGAAATTAGGCAATCACAAAAAGAGAAATGCCGCACATAGGACCACTACTGTAAAAGACTAAGAAAAAGAATCCATACTAAAGAGGGGAGGGGATTCTTTGCTGATTACCAGGATGTGGGGGGGTGATGTAAGAGGAGGGAGCAAAAAGGTGGAGCACAGGGCAGGGAATATGTACAGGATAGTTTGGGTGCTAGGAAGGGGGGCAATATACAACAAAGCGGAGGGGAATGGAAGAACAAAGAGGATGGGAGAACAAATAGGCAGGTTTGAATGGGCTAAGTGGGACAGAGGTAATTAATGACATCTGCACAAACTTGAAACAACAAGGCTACTATTGAGACATGGTTGGAATGGGGAAAAGGGGGGAAATAATGTTACGCTGCTTGGCTGTCTTTTAAATCTTGGTTTCCCTGGCATACCATTACAAAATAAACACTTGAAGGGGAGAGAAAGGAATAGCCAGAAATATCACCATAAAAAGCTTGTAAGTATGTCTTCGGCTTATAACTGATTGGAATACCTAAAATGGGGCTACAATGTGCCCAGTGAAGGTGGCTTCCTGCTGAGCTTCTGCATTACATAAGACCATAGGTGGAATCCTGAACCCCATCAAGAATCTTCTGAGGTGGGAAATTTCTACTTGAAAGGACAAGCAGACCAACCTGGAGCAGCTTTCTTGAAGGAGAGACCAACAGGAAAAATGCAAAACAATAACGGCAGTCTGACTGATTACTACAAGAACAAGCACATTGCTCATTCAGGAGACATCAAGGCAAGTGGTCGGGTCCCCTCAGAGTAAACCCCCTTCCAAGACTAAGACTCAATGGGAATATACACTCTGATTGGTTTCCACGTTCATCACCGATAAGAGGAAGTGAGGGAAAAACAGCAATGAAGCTGCGAGCTAAGCCCTACAACATTCAATAGGCTCCTGTGAATCCAAGTGGATACCTGGTTGGCCAACAGTGTGGCAAGACCTGGGTGCTCCTGGGCCCAGAGTCAGTGACATAGCCACAGAGGACTAGAATGGAGAGTGAAGCATTCAGCTGATAAGAAGAGAGGGCATGTGCACAAAAACACCCACACTTGCAGATAATACCCACTTGACCTGGCTTCAATGACTGGATGATCAGAGCTCAACTAGAAGAAGAAAGAAGAGGAAAAAAAGAGGAATGAACCTGACCTACACCTATGGATGCAGTAGCTCAAAAGAGGGAACAAATCTTTACAGCAAGGATCATTCCCACCCCTCCATACACAGAGTAGACAGGGATGGGCAACTTGGACATTGGCTACCCAAAATGAGGGGGCTTCAAAGACAAGAAGTGACTGGCTTATAAACTTTCAAGAGGGAATCTAGATCCAGAGGGTGTGGAGGAAGGTAGAATCTCCACTGAGTTGTATCCAGTCTGTCTAGGTGAGGATGATGAAAGGAAATACGGATAGGTCTCTTGTGATACAATAGTGAATAATTGTTATCAGGACTGATTGTGAGGGCTGGAAATGTAAAGGTAGACATTTTGTAGCAAGGAGGGGAGTGATTAACTTTGCAGTCTAGGAGCAAAGGTCCCTGGGACCATCAAGGGAGAGGAGCGGAGAGCGGGACCCTACCCAGAGACACAGTGACACCAGAGATGGAGGCAGAGATGATGACATGGAGAGATGGAGCAGCTGGGGACTCTAGACTCAGAGAGGGAGAGGGGCTGTGTGCTGACTACCCAGGGGCAGGCTGATGATGTATGGAGGGGACTATAACCATGGCAATGAAATGATATGTGATAGGATGAATATAAAACTAATGTTCTCCCATGTAAACTATCACATAATTCACAATAAAACATGAAAAAAAAAATTCAAGTTGTTAAATATATTTACTTTAAGTAATACTTATACCTAATGCATATTTCCCCTATTTAAATTTCTAGCTTCTACATTTGAATTATATGGAGAAAAATAAAAAATGTACTCAAAATTTAATTTATTGAATTGGATCTCTAAAATGTCTTTGAGGAATGAAACTCCAACATAAGAAAGTTGTATTTCTCTAGGACTCAGAGGTCAAATGAGGTATTTGAAAGCACAATACACGAAATAGAAAAAAAAATCCCTAACACTCTTCCAAGCAAATTAATAACTAGCAGTATCTATTTCAGCAATGATTATCTCTGGGGTATATTCTTCATTTTACTTTTATTATCTTTTATATTATTTGAAATATTTTGGCAATTAAGAATAATTTTTTTTTTCAAAAGAATTCTACCATGTTCTTCACATAAGGTTCTAAAAATTCTCCTTTTGCAGATTTTCTTAACACTGGTTATAAGAAAAACAGTGTAAATATATCTGTTACCTTGAGCTGTTTTATTTTAGCCTGAACATCACATTCAGAGAAATGCTCAATGTTGGTGAGTTGCAGATCCATCTCTGTTAGCCAGACCAAAATACTGTCCCGAGCTGTCTCAAACTCTTCACGTTGGCCAATAAAATGCTAGATGTAAAATGAAATTGACAAATATAGTCCACATAAACATACTAAGATGACACAGACAATTCCAATGTTCTTCTGGAAAGACATTTTCTCAACAAGTAATGAGAACCCACAACCCTTTACCATATAATTTCCCCTGGATATCATTCCCATCATTCCTACCAGTGATACCCCCTGCAGAACATTCCCGCCTTCCCAACCTTACAAAATAACTGAAATTGTCTTCCATGGCCCCATCCCAGGCTCAGGGCCTCCCAGGTGCTGATGAGGAATAATAAAGACCTTGAGTCTGCGCAAGATGGAGGTGATGCGTTTCTGTAGGCTGTCCCATCTCTGGTTGCCATTGTGAACCATCTCTTTCAGGCTACAGGCTGAGTCAGTGCGATTTTCTCTGGCTAGACGGCGGTACTGCTTGTTGATCAGCTCCAGCTGGGTCAGGCTCTCGTGGACCTGTCGTTGGAAGGCCTGTGACCGCAAAGAAAGACATCAATGAAGGTGGTCAACGGAAGGCTTTCAGTCATTGCTCCTGGTTTTCATGTTCCAGGGAGAATGGAGTTTTCTACTATCACAGAGAAAAGAACAATTTCTAGTAAGAGTATATGTACTCTTGTTAAAGCAAAGTAATTTAGTCAATGTGACTTCAGGAAAAGAAGTAGATCACAGAGCTATGTAAGACAATGGTGAAAAACTATGTGCATGTGCACGCGTGTGTACCACCAGGAAGCTAGTACAGGCCTGGGCCAAGTTACATTCTGCAATACGGAAGATCATCACAAGTGACAACTGACTTGATGGTAACTAACCACATGTATGTACAGGCACATGGGCTCCAACTACCTCTCTCTCTATGGAGTCCTGGTGGTGCACTGCAGGATAAGCACTGGACAACAACGTCGGTGGTTCAAACCCACCAGTTGCTCCTTGAAAACCCTAAGTTGGGTTGTTGGGAATTGGAGCCAACTCGACAGCACTTAACAGCAATCTCTCTCTCTGTATATATATTTGTTATTATTGTTAAGTGCCACTGAGTTAATACCGGCTTGTAGCGGCCCTGTGTAGATTTTTTGAGGCTGTAAATCTTTGTGGGAGCAGAAAGCCTCATCTTTTCCCAAGGACTTGAAATGGCCAAACTTGTGGTTTGTACTCCAATGCTTATCTTACAGAACCACTGTGCTCATTTTATATATATACCCTTATTAGAAATTGTTCTTTTCTCTGTGATATATATATATCTCGACTCCACGGCACTAACAACAACATATCTATGTCTATTCTACATATGTTGTTGCTAAGTGCTGTCCAGTCATTTTTGACTCATAATGACCCTGCGTAGGGTTTCTGAGGAGCAACTGTTGAGTTGAACCACCGACCTTGCGGTTTAAATTGCCTTTGAACACTGGACTATTAACCACAAGGTTGGTGGTTCAACCCACCAGCCACTCATTGGAAACCCTATATAGAGTCACTATGAGTCGGAACCCACTTGATAGCATCTACCAACAAGATATATATAGATATATGTAATTTGCTCCTATATGTGTACAGAGATCTAAACTTTGAACTCTTCAATATTTCTGATGTCCTCACTAAAAAAAATCTACAATAAGTGTTCTCACGTGCTTGTTAAACATGTAATTTCCTAAAATTCAGAAATTGCTTCAGTTCTGTATTCATCAAGAAAAAAAGAAATCAAAACTACGTTTCATGGAAGACGCTCTGAACACAAGTTGTTACGTAACTTTGAAGAAAGCAGTTTAGTAAAAACAAGTAACTTTTCCTATTAAAATGTTGGAGACATGCTCTATCTCCTTTGTATTGCTTCCATAAATGATGCCCATTTTGAATAAAATGGTGTTGGAGCTGGTGAGAGCTCAGTGCTTTGGAGGTCACCCAATGCCCAGATGTAGGTTCTAAAGGTAAATTTCCCCATCTTCTTTCTCTATGCGATACAGTATAGTTCCAACATAAAAATCGTTCAGCCAAAATAAAAAGGAAGATTGTTTTCCCCATACTCTTGTATGTAATTTAGGACTGATTTTCACCCTGACATTCCCATCTTCCTATTGCTTTTGAAATGGTTCCAACTCACAGCAACCCTCTGGGACCGAGTAGAAATGTTCTACTGTGTTTCCAAGGTTGTCGATCTGGAAGCCAGCTGACTCATCTTGTTTCTGTAGCACAACTGGTGAGTTTGGACTGTCACCCCCTAGGCTAACAGCCCAATGCTTAACCCACTGTGTCACTAAGGCACATCGACAGAAAATTTTGTAATGATTTAACTGGAACACACTGAACTATACCCCATATTTCTGCTTTACTTGGCTTGTCCTGGCATTTACATCCTATTAAAGTTCTGCTAGGGAGCTCTGGTAGTGTAGTGGTTATGAATTAGGCTGCTAATCTCACGGTCAGCAGTTCGAAACTACCAGCAGGTCTGTGGGAGAAAGATGAGGCTTTCTGCTCCCATAGAGATTTACAGCCTCGGAAACCCTGTTCAGGAGTCGCTATGAGTCGGAACCGACTCCACGGCACACAACAACAACAATAACAGTTCTGCTGCTTCAATGACTCACCTTCTGAGAGTTAGGATGACTTTAAGAGCCTTTGCCATTGTAAATCCAATCATCTGTTAAATAAAACCTCAGGGTGTTTCCCCAGTAAACTATGTGGTAACAAAAGCTCAGATATTGCTATTAACAGAAGTTAATGCCTATGTGCTTGTCCACTGAAGTTAAGGGTTTGCCCCGGCCCCCATCATGGGCACCACTGTACTCCCAGATCTGTTCCAATCATTCATGCAATTGATCAGGCTAAAAGTTGTCCTCCAGCCAAAGTTTGTTTTTGTGGTTGACTTGCATCTCTTAAGAATATTAATGATAAGATGCAGCCAGGAGAAAATCATTCATTATAGAAACATTTGCTAGAAAACCTGATCTTATATATTCAGCTTTGCAGCAGAAGCCAATTACAAAAGGTTCCACCATTATGATGCTGAGTGTAATGAGACATTGAACAATACCCACCATAGTAATATTAGTTCACATTGGGATAGCTTCTTGTTGTTGTGAAGTGCCCTCAAGTCAGTTCCAACTCATAGCGACTCTGTATATGGTTTCCAAGGAATGGCTGGTGAGTTTGAACCACCAACCTTGCAGTTCAAACTGACCTTGAGATCAAGTGCTTATCCTACAGTGCCACACCAGGACTCTACTCAAATGTCTACCATGGATTTCTGCTAAAGCTTTCTAAGGAAAAACCTTTGCATAGGGAAAAAAACAATTTCCTAGAATGTGCTCATGTAGCTATATATAAACTCACCTATTTGGCTATCAGAATAATTATGCCATATAACAGAACATGTATGTGTGTATACACATTTGAACTTTGGATGGTTCACATAACTGTTCATCTATGACTCTTAGGTTTCAAACCACACAAGAGAAATAAACAAACCAAACTTAACAAACAAACACCCAAACTTCCTAGTTCCCAGAACCGGCCTTTACAACTGCCTAGTTAACTAATGTTGCAACGTAAAAATGAATCCAGCTGGCTTGGGTTGGATTTTTGGTTTGACTGTAAACATTCTGTGGAGCTTGGGACAAAGTTAGAGACAGAGACTGAATTTTCCAAGAAGGATGCCTCAGAGCAGTTTGAGATGAACACACATCTGCCTGCCATGGGGAATTGAACAGACAAGGACGCTCAAACTAGAGCACTGACAACTTCAGGCTCTGTTAGGTCCCCTGTGACCATGAGAGACAGCTAAGGGGGCGGGGTTCAACATGTCCCCAGTGCTGGTGGACTGGAGATTGAGCAAGCAGGCAAGGAAGTGGCATCAATTAAGGAAGGATTCGTTTCATCAGAACTGTGATGGGGCCACCACTATTTCTGTCTCCATCTAGTTGAAAAGTCTTGTTGATCCAAAATTGGCAGTGCTTTGTTTTGTAACTAGAAATGGATTCTAACTTAATGTTTTATTCAATTCTTTGAGTCATCTATATTTTATCATTGAGTTTAAAAGTAGATATGTTATGCTCCAACTGGAGTGCTGGTGTGGCACTGTAGGATAAGCACTGGACTGCTAACTACACAATTAGTGGTTCAAACCCACCAGCCCCTCCCTGGAAACTCTATACAGAGTCACTATGAGTTGCAACTGACTTGATGGCACTTAACAACAACAATGCTCCAATGAGATTTTTAAAAGTCAAGAAAATATATTTGGAAGATAGACTGGTATCATAAGGAAAAACATTTTAATCCTAGGCAAGTTAATTGATTTCAAAAAATTCTGAAAGAAAAGTAATGCCAAGATCTCTTTGTGGGGAAATCATCATTCTGTTTTCTAGTAGATTTCTCTTCATGACTACTTGGTGTATAATTCTTGCTCATTGTAAGGCAAAATAAAATGCTCCTTTCCGATTGTTTCTGTCTATCTGTGAGGTAGTAGTAAAGAGGGTTAAGGAACAATCACCCAACTGTTGGAACAAACAACGTTTGGGATGAACAGTGAGTTTGTGTCTTAGAACACCAACTACCAGCTGGCGACTTTAACAGCTAATAAGGATGAAATATTTGGAATCATAAATCACCTCAAATTTCTTGAGCTCTTCCTTGGCAACTGTATAGAGCACCCCAGAAGAGCTGGGGAAGGCAGCTGTTCTTTCTGAAATCTTCAGCCAATCTTCAAAACGCGAATAGTCATCCAGAAACCTCTGCCATAATCGCCACGTCTCTTCAATTCTGAGAGACAGAAAACACAGGAGCAGTGTATGACTGTTTGAGACTGGATGCTCCTGAACACTACTTGATGCCCGTCACAGGATGAAGGGGGCTCAAACAGGCAACTGTTGTGCCAAACAATAACAGTGTCTTGAGCCACATTTGACCAGAGAGAGAAAGAGACAGCTGTTAGAGCCGAAGTATAACAGCTGCATGCCCTACAGCCCTGGACTTGGAAATCGTCAAAGAGAAGACAATAAGCACAAAATATGAGCTGTCCAGGATATGTGAAAGGAAGTTAAGAACTGTAACACCATGTTTACCCTCAGACCAGTGAAACTTCAATGAAATAAAACCGAGGTCTGAAAAACGTACGTTAAGTCCAACATTAAACTCACCCGAAAGAAACCTATTAAAGTAAAGCAAATACAGGATTGGGGGGCTTCAGAAAGTTCAAAGAAAAATCCCATTATTTTTTAATTCCATTTTTCCATGAGCATTTTGAAGCCCCCTTGTATTAAACTTTCAACAGTTTACTAGAGTATACAAGTTTTAGAGTCTTCAGTTGTAGTAATTTTCTAATGGATTACTGTATTTTTTTTTTTAATCACCTTAAATTTCAAGGGATATAAAGATAAATACTGTCTCTCTTTACATGATTTCATTTTCATAGTCCCAGATTCTGTAATATGATCCTTGTTTGGCACAGGATCTATTTTGAGCTCTTGGAACGATCTCTCAACTGCTAAGTCAGCCACAACTTCACTTGGGTCTATTTATACAATGCCTTTAACTACTTATTTTCCCCAACCGATTGAAGAGTTCATGTTTGGGGAAAGCAGAACTTTCTGAGCACTGTAACCAAGGGGAAAGAGAAACAGCGAGTCCCGAGTGCTCTGGGCAGGTTTTGTTGGTCTTACTTGAGCCTCCTTTCCATGGACATGGCACAGATGTTTCTCCATCGTCGGTCCAGGTTGCGAGTTGCCTGTTGGATGGAGTCACACTCTGCGTCGGTAGCACAAGCATCACAATCGTGCAGCAAGACCTCACACAGGTTGAGGACTGAGGCGATGCCTGTGCTGTGCTTCTCGATGTCTCTCTGGAGCTCCTGTGAGGGAACACAGTGTACTTGAGTCAAAAGTCACACGGACACAGATAAGAGACAATGGTTAACAGTATTCGTGGACTGATAAGTGGCTGGGATAAACCTTGAGAAATATGTTGGTTCCTTGGATGCATGAGATTTCTTGAACCTGATGTGTGAAATCTGTCCAGCTCAAACAACCCCTCAAGAACGCAACCCATTACTTGGAAGTCACTTCTGACTCACAGTGACCCCACTGCACAGAGCAAACCTGCAGGGTCCCCAGATGACGTTCTTTACAGAAGGGACTGTCCTAGTTCGGTCTCACAGAGTGGTGATTGGGGGGGCAAAGGGGGGAGGGCTTCCAGCTGCCACATTTTTCTTTTATGGTTAGCTTCTAGTGCTTAATAACTGCACCACCAGGAGTCCTGGCAAGCTCCAAAGGATGAGGTTATAAATCTAAAATATTTTGGCTATGTGAGAAATGCCAAAATACAAAACGGAACAAATGAGATACAATTAAGACTGAAACAAATCTTTAACCGCTGCAAAATGAATCCTATCCTAGCTTCTACTTTTGAGATAAATTACTTCTGTTTAAATCAATCAACCAACCAAGTAACAGGAATCTGTGTGCACTTGGTAAGTCTTGCAAGCTTGTCTGCCACAGTTAATTACACAGCCATTCTAAGGTCAAGCTTTACTGTCCAATCAGATTTTATACAAGAACTGAGGAAGAGGATACATTCACAAAATGCCCTGGGATTTTGTACCCCTGTGTGGTGCTGTGTGTTAATGCGCCAGACTGCAAAGCAGTTTGAACTGCAAGGTCGGCGGTTCAAGCTCACCAGCTGCTCCTCGGAAACCCTATACAGGTTCGCAATGAGTCAGAATCGACTCAACAGCACTTCACAACAACCATACTTAATTACCCTGGGGTAAGCACTGAGTTGCTAACCACAAGGTTGGCAGTTCAAACCCACCAGCTGCTCCTCGGTTGAAAGAAAGATAAGGCTGTCTGCTCCCCTAAAGATTGAGAGTTTCTGACCCACTACAGAGGTTCACTTCCGGCTTCAATAGAAACACAAGCCTGGTGTTATAATCACGGTGTCTCTGAGAGTTTATACACTCATCACTAGAAGATACATTCTATCAAAAATATTTCTAAGTCAGTAAATAGTTCTACCAAATCTCACACATACAATTTTCTGTTTATGTAAGAGGAGTTTATTGTAGGAATGTCTGGTCTAAAAAATAAAAGCAATCATTATAAAATTTAAACTCAGTATCTGCTCTATGGTAAGGAAAAAAAAACTTAAGAGACTTTTAGAACAAGATCACCAAGCAAATGTGAGTTTGGCCAGAGTCAAGAAAAGGGAATTCCAGTTTGTAAAAGGAAATGCATTTGAAAGAAATATTAGGATTTGAACATAGTCCATTAATTTAAACAAGTTACAGCATTTTGGTTTAATTTCTCCAAGTACTCAAAACTTTTTGCTAAAATCAGTATATGAAACAGCTTCTCTAAGGTGGAGGATTTTTAGAATCATGTAGAAGTTACCATGAGTTGGAACCTCCTCCATGACATATAACCACACCACCACCACCTCCACCACCATGTATGCTACCAAATACAAATCAAAGTCCTGGTGTGGCACTGTAGGACACATACTATACTGCTAACTAGAAATCCAATACAGGGTCCCCATGAGTCAGAACCAACTTGACGGCACACAACCACAACAACAATACAAGTAGAAGAGCATGGGTGGCTCGGTGTGAAGTCTGGCCTTCAGTGCAGAAGACCTATTCTCTTCCCTGTTACAGCTATGACTGGTGTTCCAACACCTCTCACCATTCAAGTGTCTGTTAGCCGCCATTACCTTCTCTTCTCTTGTTCATTCTCCTGCCACTGTGGGTTTTCACACACCAACCCCCCTTTACTATTATTTTAAGGGAGTTTTAGTAGTAAGTGGGCTACAAATGTCCATTATAAACCTGTCACATACTTGTTATAATGGTATTTTCTTATACTTGCTAAATAATACTGGCAATTGGCATTTTAGCTCTTACCACTTTGGTAGGCACCATTGTCATGCCTACTAGAATAATTTAGGGAACTGAGGCCAAAATTCACCCCCACAATTCAATCAATATTTCAAATTCCAGACAGTCCACTAGTAAATTTCCTAGCAAAATAAATCTTAAATACCATCACCACTGATATGTAGTCTTGGTGTGATGTTGTAGGGTAAGTGCTGGACTGCTAACCACAAAGTCGACAGTTCAAACTTACCAGCTGCTCCTTGGAAACCCTACACAGGATCACTATGAATTTATCTGATGGCACTTAACAACAACAACCACTGACAACAACAAAAACCAAATTGAATTTTATTTTAACCTTTAATCTCACTGGTTTAAATAATCTAAAAAATTGGATAGGTACCAAAGTTATTTCATGCAATATATATATATATTAACCTAAGAATGATTTCTTGGGATTTAAAAATAGATGTCTGCATTTTACAAAAGACAATGATTTCTAAGCTAAGCAACTTGGTTGCCATGTAATGAAACAACCATAGTCTAGATAGACTTTTCAAGGACAATCTAAAGTAAAGGAGTAGCAAGAATTTTACAGGGAATTGATGGTGCTTACTACCAACAAAGGAGCTCTGGGAGCGTAGTGGTTATGAATCAGGCTGTGAACCGTAAGGTCAGCAGTTCTAAACTACCAGCTGTTTCACGGGAGAAAGATGAGGCATTCTGGTCCCGTAAAGGTTTACAGCCTCGGAAACCCTGTACAGGGCTGCTATGAGTCAGAACTGACTTCACGGCATGTAACCAACCGCTACCAACAAAGGAGCTCTGGTAGCATAGTGGTTACGAATCAGGCTGCAAACCTCACGGTCAGTAGTTCGAAACTACCAGCGGCTCTGCAGGAGAAAGAGGAGGCTTTCTGCTCCCGTAAAGATTTACAGCCTCGGAAATCTGGTCAGGGTCGCTATGGGTCGGAACTGACTCGATGGCACTTAACAACAACAACAACAACTATCAACAATGGTATTTTCAATGGTATTTCAAATGATGGTGGCATTCTCAATGGTATTTCAATTGACCATGATATTTTTAATCATATCTTATGTATGGGAAGTTGAATAATGAAACACTTAAGAAGCACTGATACTTTTGAATTATGGCATTGGCAAAGAATACTGAATGCAATATGGACTGTCAGAAGAACAAAGAATGAACAAATTTGTCTTGGAAGAAGCAGTTAGAACGTTCCTGAGAAGGGAGGATAGTGAGACTTCGTCTCTCATACTTTGGACACGTTATCAGGAGGGACAAGTCCCTGGAGAAGAACATCATGCTTGATAGAGTGGAGGGTCAGAGAAAAAGAAAACCCCCAACAAGATGGATTGATTAACACAGTGGCTATAACAATAGCCTCAAACCCAGCAATGATGGTGAGGACGAAGTGGGCCTGGGAAGCATTTCATTCTGTCATAATAAGGTGGCTATGATTTCAAACCAACTTGAAGGCACCTATCAACAATATTGTTGTTAAGTGCAGTCAAGAGATTTCTGACTCACAGTGACCCTGTATAGAGTTTCCAAGGTTGTAAATCTTTACTGGAGCCGAAAGCTTCATCTGTCTGGTGGTTAGAAGTCCAGTGCTTATCGTACAGAGCCACAGTGCTCCCTACTGACAATTGGAGTCTAATATATTAACTAAGAATTATTGGGGGGAGTCGTTGCTATTGTTAGGTGCCGTAGAGTCGGTTCCGGCCCATAGCAACCGTACGTATAACAGAATGAAACACTACTGAGTTCTCACAATCATCGCTACCCTTGAGTCTGTTGTTGCCACCGCTGTGCCAACCCATCTTGTTGGGGGTCTCCCTCTTTTCCATTGACCTTCCTCTTGACCAAGCATGTTGTCCTTCTCCAGAGACAGGTCTTTCCTGACAGTATGTTAGAAGTGTGAGTGATTAAGTCTCGGCATCCTGGTTTCTAAGGAGCATTGTGGTTATATTTCTTCCAACACAGAGTTGTTTGTTCTTCTAGCAGCCCATGGTACTTTTAATATTCTTCTCCAATACCATAACTCAAATGCATGAACTCTTCTACAGTTTTCCTTATTCGTTGTCCAACTTTCACATGGGGGACTAACGGGGATCATTGTTGCTTTCACTTGAGTTTTCAGGATCATTCTCTTTTGCTTTGTGGGCTTGTGTGTTACATATCAGTGATATCTACTGTCTCTGTGACCAACATGAGATGTTGAAACTAAAATGTGTCATCTGCAATTCAGACAACCAAGCTCACAAAGCAAAATATTTCAGACTCTAAAAGCTCAAGATACGCACTGGAATCTTTCTCCAAACACTATAAACAAAAACAAAACAAAAGGCTCTTTCTAAGTCTATGGTACTGGGCCAATGACTCACAAATAATAAAACATATCTGCACTGTTTTGGATACATCATTGCAACTCAACATCACCTACGGTCAGAGCCTGGCTCCCTTGTAGGCAGTGGCATTAACCCTATGATTGCACGAATAACTTAGGAGCCAGCTTCTGTGTAGTCACATGGAACCTGTTAGCCCCAGACACCTGCCCAATCATGGTCCTTGTGCACACCACTCCTGCCTCGCTTCCTCCTTAACTTTCATGTCCATTCACCATTGCACACCCAGCCCTCCATCCTGCCCAGGAGAAGGCTCGGCATTCTAAGTCTGTGAACTTTTCTTCAGTTGTTTTGAAGCTTTACCTGCTGTTCACTAAGCTTCTTCTGTATCTCTTCTGAGTCACAGGAATCATAGACAATCGGCTTGGCCAGCTCAGCCTCAATGTGGGCGAGCCAAGTCCTCAGGCTGCTCATGTTCTTATCTAGCTGCTGCACGGCCACCAGGGTCTCCTTCAGCTTCTTCACCCTATTGGGAGACAAGGACCACAGTCAGCTTGAGGGAAGGCTCCACTCCTGTTTCTTGCCTGGCCACAGGTTGAGCGCCTGATCTCAAGACTCAAGTGGACAGCTTACATTACCTCCCCAGGCATTTGTTTCCTTATCTACAAAATGAGGATTAAAGAAGGGTACTTGGGAGAGATAAAGAAGTCCAATCATCTAGGGTGTCCAGTACATAAGAAACATCCAACAGAAAAACATGAGACATTATTGTAACCCACAGAGCTGCAATCAATTGATGATGAAAGTTCTCTCCTGACTGTCACACACACACAAATGTTATTTCTACCAATAACATAATTTACATTGCTTATAAACTATAAGAAGAAATAAAAAATGGTAACTTTTTCAATGAACTCTCACCACGGCTCTGATATTGAGCAAACATGATTCTATCTTGATGTTGTGAAGTGCCTTTGAGTTGGTTCTGACCCATAGGGACTCTGCATGGGGTTTTCGAGGAGCAGCCTCGTGGGTTTGAACCAATAGCATTGTGGTCAGCAGTCCAGTGCTTATCCTATAGTACCACACCAGGACTCTAGTTGCAACTTAGCGGGAGGTATTTTAGCAGCGTTGAGGCAGAAACTCAGATTTCTGAGTAAATTGTGAGTTATCACTGGCCGACAACATTAAAGGTAACTAAGCACCTGCTAGATTGGAAGCAACAGAGGGCTGTATGGAAAGGAGGTATAAATGACCAGCTTTCTACCTCTAGACCCTACTTTAGTGTATGTACAGTGTTCATCACATACCATGCTTTAAAAAAAAAAAGAAAATCCCATTTTTTCCAGCTAGCAGGAAAAATCCATTTCTAAAACACTGTTATTTATCAGGAAGTATAGTGGCTCTGTAGGATAAGCACTGGCCTGCGAATGACAAGGCTGGCAGTTCAAGCCCACCAGTTGCTCTGCGGAAGAAAGATGAGGCTTCCTATCCTGACAAAGATTTATAGCCTCAAAAACCCTATTCAAGGTTGCTGTTGAGTCACAACTGACTCAACAGCATTTAACAATAACAACAAGATAGAATGTTTATCTAGCATTCATATGCGAACACTGTCTTATGTGTAAAATGCTGGGAACACAAGGATATAAAAGACTTGATCTTACCCCTCAAGAAACGTGTAATCTGATTGGACATCTGGACATGCAGACAATAAAAGAGACTATCCTATGGTAAGAACTAAAGTTTCTAGCTAACGAGTAAGAGGCTATCAGTTTTATCTGCCACATTCAAGTAATGCCCCATTCATCCACCAGTTGTTCATTTCTGAATTCATTCTACAAAGTTTATTGTGCTAACTAGATACCCATGTTGTTGTTGTTACATGCCGTCGAGTCGGTTCCAACCCATAGTGCCCCTCTAGAGGGTTTCCAAGGAGCGACTGGTGAGCTTGAACCACCAACCTTGCAGTTCAAACTGACTTTGCAGTCTAGTGCATTATGCAGTGGTGGAAATCCAATGACAAGTATAGCACCATCCCAAAGCCTTGAGCAGTTGGACTTTAAGGAAAGAGGCAGGATATGCACTGAACTGCTAACTGCCAGGTCAGTGGCTCAAACCCACCAGTAGCTCCTCATGAACCCTATACAGGGTCGCTGTCACTTGGAACCAACTTGACTGCACTTAAAAACAACAACAACAAAAGCTAGAAGGATTACTCACTTAGCATTTGTTTCCTCTTTACCCCATTTTATTTCCCTGATCAGATTTCTGTCCACGTGAGTCTCTGTCCTTGGAGAGCTGGGATTGTGAATTTCCAAATCTCAGTGTTCCACATACAGCAGACCCTAATGTAAATGTCTGCTAAACCAACAACCAAAAGATCCAGTGGTCATCAAGTCAATTCTGACTCGTGTTCCACAGGAGGATTGTGCTCCATAGTTTTCAATGGCTGTGATCTTTTAGAAGTAAATCACCAGACATTTCTTCTGAGGCACTTCTGGAAAGATCTTCCTAGACAACTTTTTGGCTAGTAGCCAAACTATTTGTGCTACCTAGGGACTCTCAAAGCATGCTAACCAATAATAATTATCCCAAGTAAAATGTTTTTTTTCTTTAATTAAAATATCAATTTTTATTTGATTTGATATTAAATGTGGTTACGAGTTGGGTTGCTAACCTCTAGGTCAGCAGTTCGAAACTACCAGCAGTTCTGTGGGAAAAAGATGAGGCCTTCTGCTCCCGTAAAGATTTACAGCCTCAGAAACCCTATACAGGGTCGCTATGGGTCAGAACTGACTCAGTGGCATACAACCACCACCACCACCACGACCTTCAATTTGTCTTCTAGGTTCAACATTTGCAAATAGTCTATTTTTCAAGTACTAAAATTCATTCATTATTAGTTCCAAATTCACTCGCAAGTATGATTGAAAGTACAAAGGGGTGTAAGTAAGCATTGTTCTACTGGATACCATCTACATTAGCCAAAGAAATTGCTGGATTCAGTCATCCTGTATAATACTGAAGGAGTTTCCATCGTCGGAGCAGCTAGTGAGCAATGTGTCCAGGGCATCGTGACATGGAAACGCTTGTTCATACAGTTCATTAGGGACAAGTTCCTCTTGCAAATGAATGTGTACATCTAGGAGAGTGATTAGGATGAGCAGTTACATGGTTCTTCTTCCTCATTTTCCTTAAAGTGCTGGTTACTACAAACAGTGCACTGTGTGTGTGTAGTGTGTGTGTGTTTGTGTGTGTGGGGGGCAGATCTGAACTGGTGGGGGCGGGGGTGGTGTAGAAATGTGTAGGCAGTAAAGCCATCAGGCATTTTGTTTTCTTGGAATTATTTCAACTTGAAATTGACAGGACAGGTGTCATTCTTTTTAAGAGAAATTAAACTGTCCCATGTTCTTTTCCCCCATTATTTCTTGAAAAGCGATCTTTAGCAGTGTTTACCTATCCTCATAGCGTGAGCCACATTCCTTTATGTAATTCAAAATAGATGCCTATAGGGGTCACGTGGGAGCATCTGTTTTGAATTATAATCCTGGATGTCTGATAAATTTAGCAAGCCTGGTAAATCTGTAAGTTCCTGTAGCTTGCTTCTCTGATCATACTCTGAGCATCACGGGTTCATGAGCTCTTTGGAGAAGGATTCCACTTAAATCCACTTGCCCGTTGTTGTGTTTTTTTTAACATTGTCACAAATACATACATATCAATACCTATATCTATCTATATAAATACACATATATGTTTATATGAGGGGGCTTCAAAAAGTTCATAGGCTAATGTAGATTTTCCATGATTTATTTGAAAATCTGTCCGTTTCTACTTAACTATTTCTGTGTGTGTGTATATATATATATATATATGATAATGATAAAAATGGTCACTATTTTTCTTCAAATTAACTTATCAACACCATAAACTCAAAGAAACATAAACTTTAATTCTAAATATGAGAACCCAAAGTGCCTTTCATGAATCTCTTCATACATAGGAATTTATTTAGGGGAATGATATTGTTAGAAAAAAACAAATGCATGATCAAAAAAATGATAACCTCTGCTATTAATTACTCTAATCTTAAAAAGGAGTCCTGGTGTGGCATTGTGGGTTAATGTGCTGCACTGCACTGCAAAGGTTGGTTTGAACCACAAGTTTGGTGGTTCAAGCTCACTAGCCACCCAGAACCCCTATACAGGGTTGCTATGGGTTGGGACTGACTGGAAGGCACTTAACAACAACAACAATCATAAAAAAGACATGATGTAAATATTTGCACAATGTACAGACCTTAGGATTTTAAATATAAAATTGTACATTTTATACTTAATTTTAAATGTATGATTCTGGTCAGTGACCACAATTCACTGAAACATAAATAAAAATCAACTTTCTCATACACAAGCAAAGAGGACATCTTCCAAGCCCTTGGGTATTGAATAGGTTGTTATTTAATCAAGGGAAGCTTTTGTCTACAAAGCTGAGAGTTGGGAAGGCCAGCTTTCAGCTCCATCAGAAGCCTGATCTTCCAGTAACAGCTGATAGACTGGCTATTCTGAATCGCTTTCTACTGTAGCCAAACCCCTTGCAAGGCGCATACAATCCAGAGACAACTGGAATACTACGCCATGAGAAAGTCCATTAACCTTTTTACACAGCTTCCCAGGCCCAATAGGGGGACTAGAGGAACAAACCAACAAATAACTCATAGGAGCCCATGGCCAACAACATCCCAACACCAATCATCTCCATTTACATTGGCACCAAGCACTTAGGGATGAGAGTGTCCAGCCTCTAGCCTACAAACCCCACGTCACACCAAAGCTATGCACAACGGAAGAAACTCAAGGAGACGCCTGCCTTGTGACATCGCAGTTACAGTCCGGGAGATCTTCATCCACACAGCCGTCCTCTGCCATCCTTACAGCACACCGCTCCTTTGCTACGACCATGAAGCTTCCACTGGCCTAAGTCAGGCTCTGCAGATCAAAACGCTAACACTTGTGTGGGGATGAGAGTTCCCCTTGTCCAGTAGAGAAGTATGAAAGTGTCCACTCTAGACAAATGTTGGGAGTTTCTGCCTTGATAATATGACACTGAGCAGTGACAAGTGGTCATGTTTCTAAATAAAACCTACAATGACATGTGCCAGGCTGGGTCTCCTAGAACATAAGCCACGAGAGTAAGAAGGGGAAGGAACTCAGGGTAATCTGGCAGGAGGAGGTCTAAAGGAAGAAAGAGATGAAAAATACAGCCAGCCTCAGACACACTGTCATTCTGTAAGGACCGGTAACTCTTCACGCAGGTTGTCTGTTAACTCAGGAAATATATTTGAAAAAGATCACCCAAGTGCAAACAGACAGTCTCCACTAAAATGGCAAATGGTTTTTCCTTCGATTCTCTAAGTTAGCCGAATAGTATTAAGTAGGAGTGTTAAGGGTGTTTTGGGAAGATGGGATAGAGAAGACCTTCTGGGTAAAGAAGTTGGTCTTTACTTTTTGAATAGATGGTTTG